AAAAAAAAAAAAAAAAAAAAAAAAAGACTTAATGTGCAATGACCCTCATAATCTCTCTTGACACCCTGGCTCCAGCCACAGCCTCAGTTTCTATGGCTGTTTGAAAAAGTTGTGTTTCAGGTCCTTCATATCTGAGTCCTGCATCATATCTAAAAGGTTGATCAGCTTAGAGGTCCCCAATAGCTCTGGGGAATGTCTCCATGACAACACATTAGCAGATGCTCCCTACACATCCTGCCCTCACAGCGCTGGGGGCCCTACCCTACATTCTTTTGTACTACCTGTAATAATCATTCTTGATATTCTGTAACTGATGATTCAACATCTTGAAATCATGAGAAAATTAATGACCAAAGTTGTTTACATCTCCCCTGTGATCTGACTTTCATGGATGCTTGAAAATCATATTGCAAACACTTCAACCACAAGACCCCAAACTGTGTTTCGCTTCCTACCTAATAGGGGATGTCCCCACCTAAAAACTTGCTACCAGTATAGAAATAAAGGCTCTTTTACCCATGTTTTCTTCTTGTTCCTTCTGCCTCCTGACCAACGCTGGTGCTTCCCCATGTGGCCCTGCATGGCACAGTGTGCCCCCTCCTGTTGAGGACTCTAAGTAATAAATTTTTCTTTCAATGGCATTGATCTCTGAGTGTGTCATCACTCAACAGTGTAATATAAATTTATCAGTTTGATATTGATAAGTTAAATTCCAGGCACAGTTTAAAATACCACCTGGCACAGCCCACACCCAAAGACTTGCCAGGCCCTGGAGGAGCTAGAGTTGTGGCAAGGGTGAGCCTGATTCGGAGATGACACCTGACTCTGCTCCACAGACCCTATAACAACACCTCTTCCGCCCCAAACCTGCAGACCTTCTTCTAAGTATGTAAAAGTTTCTCCAAAACTCCCCAAACACTCATCTCCTGTTGTCCCCAGTCATGATATTCCACTCCACCTAGTCTCTATTCTCCACCCTATATCTTGGAATGTATAGAGGAGGAGGGCTGGGTTTCTGATAGGACAAAGGCCAGCTCTGAGAACCAGCATGGTAGGACAGGGCCAGCTGAGTAGTCCTGGGAAATACTCTCCCCTTGGAATCAGTCCCGAGAGCAAGGTAGCCCTGGCCTCAGGTTCCAGGGCTGAACCAAAGGAAGGAAAAAGGAGCAGAGGTATTTCCTCTGGCTTACTAAGCTAGATCAAACCCTTCAGAGCTCATGAGGTTGAGGACACAAACTCTGCTGTGAGAGGCAATGGTCAGTGTGTATATGTGAATGTGTCTATGAAAACATGTGCACACTTACAGCAGTGTGATGCATAAGCCTGCTTTGCCTTGGCTCAGTGCTTCTTTTTTTTTTTTTTTTTTTTTTTTTTTTGAAGAACAGAGGCCAAGTAGAGCAGTTGCGTTAGCTATGGCACTTTGAGATTTATGTAACAGACTTTGGAACCACCCCTCTGTAACTGTGTTTCCTAAGAATATACCATAATATTCTCGGTACGTGAGCCTCTCACTGTTGTGGCCTCTCCCGTTGCAGAGCACAGGCTTCGGACGCGCAGGCTCAGCAGCTATGGCTCACGGGCCCAGCCGCTCCGCGGCATGTGGGACCCTCCTGGACCGGGGCACGAACCCGTGTCCCCTGCATTGGCAGGCGGACTGTCAACCACTGCGCCACCAGGGAAGCCCAGCTCAATGCTTCTTGATTCATCAGGTACTCCCTCCTCTTTGAATCCAACCCACCAACTCTACACAGCCTGTGCCCCTTGCCCCTGTAACCGAGAATTCAGACAGAATTCATCCTGGACCACATTGGCTTTGCTTTTTCCCATCAGCCCCATAAATGCTTAGTGAGGAAGCAAATATTTATTGAAGTGCTACTTGCAGGGTACACTTGTGAACCTCCCATATGGAGGGGCATTTAAAAGATATCTTGGAACAAGAGGGTTATGGCAGTACTTTTGTGTGTTCACAAGTGTGTGTACTGATGTGTGATTCTCAGTATATGTGTGTTTATGAGGTGTGTGACTGAATGTGCATATATGATGTGGGTATAAGACGTATCTATGTGAGAAAGCATGTGTGCTCTGAGAAGGGGAACTCCAGAGCATTTTATATGGATTTCAGAGTCTCACGGCCAGTGTGGATATATGCAAATAGGTGTGTGTACGTGTGTGCGTGGGTGTGTGTGTGTGCGCTGCGTGAGCAGGGGATAAATGTGTGCTATACTCCTGCATCTCTAGGTGGTACATCTACATACCCAATTCACTCCCATCTCTGTAACCTAGCAGACTGGATGGCAGAGTTTCTGCAGGCAGGCTTTCCTGCAACTCTGGATTCAATTGGTGGTGGGGGTCTGGGGAATGGCCATGGGGTCCCTCTGGGCTTGGGGGTCCCTCCTGGCCAGCTCTGCCCTCTCCATCCTTGGACGTTCCCTCCCCAGGTTCGCCCTCATCGTCGGCCTCGGCCGGTTCCTCAGGCATTGGCCACTCCCGAGTCTGCCACTCCAGCCGCTCGATGCGATAGGCGATCTCGAGTGCCCTGGACTCCAGCTCAGCCAGGAGTCGCGCGAACTTGGTCTGCAGATCATCGAGTTGCTGGTCGAGGCCTCGCAGCTGGGCCTCCGTGGCCTCCTGTAGGGCGGTCTCAGCTGCCTCGGCATTTACGTCCAACCTGTACATTTTGAGCAGGATCTCACGGCACTTTTCCTCCATGACGGCCCGGGCCTGTGGATACTCGCTCAGCACTTCCTGCAGGTCCTCCTTGCTCAGGCAGAACAGATCCGAATAACCGAGACTCTCGATGTTGTGGCTGTACGGCGGTTCCCAGACATGTTCCCTGTGGCCACGGGCAGACGTGTGGGAGGTTAGTCAGGGTGGGCGTGAGGGGGCATTTCCCTCTGGAACCAGGACCCCCACTTCCACATTTGTGCTTCCGAGCCTCTCTTCCTGCCTCATCAATTCTCTCATCCAGTAGAGTACTGGGTAGGGACTGGGCCCTGTGCTGGGTGGGTATCAGTGACCTGCCTCCAAGAGTTCACAGTCTAGAGGACTTAGACATTTAAGGGGATAGTTATGTACCAGTATAGCCAATGCAGCGTAGATGTGCATCTGGTACTGTGGGAAGACAGGCAGAGAGCCCCTGACAAGCTGTAAGGCAGAGAATTTAGGGAAGCCTGGAGGAACTGATGCCTGGACTGAGTAGGAGGTAACTAGGGGAGGGGGTGGGGAGGGCAGCTAGGCGAGCAGAGGGATGGACTTAGGAAAGAGTCAGGTGGTTACAGAATATAGTAAGCAGTCCAGGGAGGCTGAAGTTCAGGGTGTGAGGAGAGATGGAGAGAGCCAGGTCATGCTGGCCTCGTAGCCCTGGCAAGGAGTCCAGACCTTGTGTTGAGGACAGTGAGAAACTATTGAAATATTTCAAGCAGGAGAACTGTATGGTGTCATTTGCATTTTAGAAAGATATTGGTGGGTGGCGGGTGGGAAGATAGGTTCGTCTGAATGCTGCAACATCTCAGAGGTAGAAGGACCTTAGAAGGGGCAAGGGAACTACCGTTTGTTGAACTCTTGCTATGTGCCAGGCATTGCACTGGGTGCCTCACTCATAGTTCATTTAATCCTCCCAAATAACTCTTTGGGTTTTTAATATCATCCCTCCTGGGTAGGTGAGGAAACTGAGGCCTAAAAGAGGGAATTGACTTGTCCAAAGTCAGGTAAACAGTGGCCAACTACATACAAGATGTGGGTCTTGAGGGGGTCCTTGGAGGAAGATGTGAGGTATTTAGGACAACTGGAGAGTGGGGTCCCCAGACTGAGAGCACATCCAGTGCTCTCACACCCTTTTCAGTCTTTCCCATCTCCTGTGGCCTCAGTGTCTTTACCTGTGATTAGGTATAACAACTCCTACTGCACAGGCTGATAGGAGGAACAAATGAGCCAGTGTGCAGTACCTGGCCTGGACTGGAGCTGATGCAGTAAATAGGAATTCCTTCCTTCTACCTTCCTTTCCATTTGGCTCTGAGAAATTTGTTTCTTGTACTGTTCCCAGGAGTGTATACTTATTACCTGTGTGACCTTGGACAAGTTCCCCAAACTCTCTGTGCTCTAATTTTCTTACCTTTAAAATGGGGATAATAGTACCTACTTTATAGAGCTGCTGTGAGAATTTGATGTGTTGGTACATGTGGAGAACTTTGAACAAGGCATGTAGTAAGCAGGCAATAAATATTAGCCATTATTATTATTATTATTGATTGTTATTATCTCTGCACTTTCCACTGATCTGTTGGTGCCTTGGGTGGCTATCCACAGAGCAGGTCTACTTTCTCTTCCAAGGACCCACCCTGCTCATTGACCTTGGCACAGCCTCTTCTCAGGGAACAGACCCTCCTTGTCCGGATTCTCTCTTGAGCCCTCTAGTGGCTCAGGCAAGGGCCAGGTGTCCTTAATCTGTAGGCTCTGAAGTACCACCTGGTCTCAGCATGGGGTTCTGCTGTCCCCATTCCCCTCCCCTAGCCCTGTCTCCGGGACGAATGATGGCGTGCCCACCTTTGATGTTGATGTTGCTGATCTCCCCAAAGTAGAGCCCTGGACCAAGCACAGCATACTGAGTGACACCATCATCGTCTACCACAGCCAGCTGACCCTCTCGGATGATGTACATCTCTCGGCCAATGTCCCCCTTGCGGCAGACATATTCGCCTGGTGAATAGGTCTGGGGCTGCAGCTTCAGCACCAGCTCCTCCAGCAGGCTGGCCTCACAGTTCTGGAAGATCTGCACCCGGCTCAGAGTAGGCAGGTGTACAGACACGGCCACTTCTGCCCGCAACTGCTCAGGCAAGTGCTGTACGATGGCTACCTCATTGGTCATCTTCTTGTTGATCTGCAGGTGCTGGTACCTGGGGGCAAGGTACATCATCAGTCCTCACCAGCCCGCTACATGCCTCCCTCTACGTCTTCCATCAGGGCTCTCAGCCCAGCCTCAGCCAAGAACCCAACCACACTGAGTTCTCACAGGGGTCATGGGAATACTTGACAGTTGGTTGATAAACATCTTTAATGCACTACCTGCTGGTCAGAGATATGTTTTGACAGCTCCTCCCTCACCCAGGGCCTGGAAGCCTCCACCAGTGAACAGTGACTAGGATACCCTTTAGCTCTTGTCAGGCTCTACTCACCCACCATTCAGTGATGTCTTGTACCATATCACCGATATCTACTTCAGTCACCAAGCCCCATCTTCTTTAGCGATCCTCTGCTCTAGGTCCCCAACTTGGTGACACTTCCCTTTGTTCAGCCTACAGTATGGACTCCACGACATAGTTAACCGTCTTGTTGTTGGCCATCCCCTGAAGAGTATTGCTTTTCCCTCTTACCTCTTCCAGGACCTTCTGAGTCCCATCAGGTGGTGGCAGTTCCCATTCCCTGGGTTCTGGGTTATCCTTCCTTGTGTATGAATTCCTCTCCCTGTCAATCTTTTACCCAAACCCTCGCCCTAAGTCCATATTCCAATTAGTGGAGGAAATCCTTTTCCAAGTCCCACCCAGTGAACCCTCCAATGAGCCACATCCTGAATGCCCTGCCTGATCCACCAGGCAATAAGAACCCAGCCACATTCCTCAGATTCTATCCAGTACACCTCTCCCTGTCCTGGTCTGGAACCCCAGCATCCTCACCAGTCAATGACTCGCCGCTGCAGCCTGTGGTTGACGTGATGCAGCTTCATGTATTTCTTCACCAGGGCGTGGTCTGGGTAGAAGGCTGCATCTGCAGTGTTCATGTTGTAGATGACAGAGCTCATGCTACCCATGATGGTGGCGAAACCCATGACGGCCAGTGGAAGTCTCCCACCATGAAGAGGTACTCCTCCTCCCGGTCTGGCAGCGGCGTATCGCCCACGGTGGTCAGGATCAGCGTGGAGAAGTAAAAGCTGTAGAGGTACTGGCGCTGCAGCTGCTCAAAGCCAGGCTGCGCGGGGTCGGGGTACACCCAGGCGTCACGCCCGAAGCCCAGGTACCGGGACAGGGCAAAGTATAGGCAGCTGTTCCAATGGATGACAGCAAAATCTCAAAGCATCAGCTTGGCGATGCGGAAGGCCTCCAGGTAAACTGTGCGGGTCTCCGTGCGGTCAAAGGCCTCAAAGAGGCGGGGCACCCGCAGAAAGCGGTTCAGCCTCAGCGTGGGTGTGTGCGGACCCAGACTCACATAGGCCACTTCCGTGGGTAACAGGGAAACCAGGTCCAAGAAGAAGCTCCAGGTGCGAACGTAGCGACTCGAGATCCTACCCTTGTCCACCACCAGTATGCCTTGTTCCAAGAATCCTGGTGGGGGAAGTGGGGGCCGCCGTGGGTGATGTCACATATAGGGTGGAGTCAGGGCATCTGCCTGCTCCAGAAACGAGGTTGAGGGTGGGCAGGCCAGGGCAGGCCAGGGAGACAGTTACCGGGGACAGGGTGGGGGCCGGCTTAACCCTGCTCCAGGGTTTCTGGGGTGAGCCCAGGGATACTGTAAACATAGAGGCATGTGAAAGTGCTGTCAGGGAGGGGGTCACTTTCTTGTTACTAAGAGGCTCTCTTTAGGAAGGGAACATGGAAAAAAAGTCAGTCCTGAGACTCACTGACCAGTGTGGAAGCGCACCACGATGTCCAGTAGGTAGAGCAGGTCACTCGTGCAGTCCAGTACTAACCAGGCCACCAGATAATAGTGCTGCAAATCGGGGAAGCCGGCTCTGCGTGGCAGGGACAGAAAGGACTGGCTTAAGGGCGCCCTCTGTGTGTTAGGTGTTCTCCCACAGCCGCTGAGCATTAAGCGCTGGGCTCTCGTATAGACGCCGCCACTACACCAGCCCTTGCAAGGGACCCGCCCCTCTCCTGGGCCTCACTCTTTAGCCCTGGTCTCTGCTTAAGGCCCTTCCCATAGTGCCAAACCTGCACACGACGATGATTAGGTTATACATTACTGGGAAGACCATAGTGTTCAGCCACCAGTAGTAGTAATCCCCAGATGGGTCGAGGACAGGCAGCAACTTCCTGTGGGCAAGAGGGGAAGTTGTGCTTCACTTATTCACCGTTCAGTGCTGCGGTCGTGACCGGAAGCAGCAAAGAAGGATCAGGCTCCATCTGGTGAGGCAGACAGATCTTACACAGGGGACCAGGATCTCTCACCTGGCCTTGGGTGGGGCAGAACTGCTGGACTCTGTCGTCTTCACTTTGCTGTCCTGGCTCATGGTTCTGTGGCCTGGTCCCTGGGTGTAAGATACCCAGGGCCTCTGCCTGCAGGTGGCTTCAGGAGGTGGGGGTAGTGCCAAGCTGCCCTTGGTCTCCAGGTGTGATTCCTCCGTCTTTGGCTTCTGAAGCTCTTAGCAACACAACCAGGGCCAGCCGCTACTGAAGGAGTGGAGGCAGTGTGGCTCCTGCGCTCCGCCCCCTCTCCTAGGGCCTGGGCTTACACCTGCCCAACTAAACATCTCTAATGGGGTCCCTGGAGATGGTGGAGGTGCATGCCTCAGACGTTAAGGCTACGCCTCGTCTCCCTCCGCCTTCCTCAAAGTTGAACTACACAGGGGCCCTCTAGTCAGGAGAGCTGTGTGCCAGTGTAGGCTCAGAAATTCATTCTGTTTTACCCTGTGCAAGTTCCCTGCTCGCACCTCATTTTTTTATTCATTGAACAACTATTCACTGAATGGCTCATTTGTGTCAGGTGCTGAACTAGTCTCCAGGGACAAAGAATGCCTGTCACATCAGATATGAGCTCTGTTTCCATTACCTGCACCCTATCCTTCCTGCTGGATGAGTGTGATGGGGGCCATCCTGTGGCATTTTTGCCCTCATTCCCTTCTTGTTACCTCTCATGCCTGATCTCACCCGTTATTTCATGTGTTTTCTAGATCCTCAACCTCTTTCAGTTTTCCCTTTCTGTGAACGTGCTTAAACCTCCCATACCAGAACAAACAAAAAAATCCTAAAAATTCTCCCTCAACTTGATGTCCCTTTCACTACTATCATCTTTCTCAGTCAACCAGGCTTTTTCAAGTCATAACCAGAACATCTGCTATGTGCCAGGCCAATATTGTGCTAAGTATTGGGGATAAAAGATGAATGAAACACATTCCTTGCCCTCCAGAAACTCACAGTCTGGTAGGGGGCAAGAGTCAGGTAGATAGGCAATTACACATCAGTCTGATGGGTACTCTGTTAGGTGGGTACACAGAGGGTTATTGCAGTACATAGAAAGGGTCCTAATTGAGACTGGGTTCTGTAGGATGAATAGGAGTTAGTCAAGTATAAGATGGAAGAGTGAAGAGCACTCAGGCAAAGTGTATAGAGTATGCAAAGGCATAGAGATTTCAAAAAGCATGGGTGACTGGGAGAACATCACTTGGTTTTTGTAGTGAACCTGAGAGGCTAGTGGTAAAAGATGAGTCTGAATGGTGGACAGAGGACAGCTCAGAGAGAGCTTTGTCAGTCATGTTATACAGCTAGGATTTTATCTAAAGGCAATGAAGAACTCATGAAATGTTTTGCACAGTTAAGTGATATGGCTAGATTTGTGTTTTCAGAGAGTTTCTTGGAAGGAACATCTATAGTTTCCAACATTTTATTTTATTTTTTTGAAATCCTCTTTTCCCATGGCTTCTATTGATACCATAATGTCTTGGTTTTCTGCTTATTTCTTCTCGGTCTCTTTCATAAGCCCCTGTGTCCACCCCTCCTGTTTTGGTGGTTTTTTTGGACTCTGTCCTAGGCCTTCCTCTCTTTCCATCCTCCCAACTCTCTCTGGTCAATCTTGGTCACCCACAGGATCTCCTTTTGCATCTAATGTCTCCCAAGAACTCTCTTTGAGCTCCAGACCTACCTATACCACTAATTGCTGTCTGGATGTCCCCACTCGGACATTCCACAGTCACCTTCAGCCCTTTGACTCCATAACTGAGCTCATTATCTTCCCCCATCTGCTCTTTCTCTTATAATCCCTATCTCTGGCTTATCAGCCAAAATACCTAGCACCAGTATTTATTATTATTACTATTGTATAACATTGTGGCAGTTTTAAAAAATAGTCACAAATTCTTTGATGCTCCTTCCTTGTGGCTGTTCAGTCAATAGAGTATAGCAGGAAAGATGTTGTGTCACTTCTGAGACCAGATCATAAAAGTCCATGCAGCTTCCTTCTGGTTTTCTTTGAACACTCACTGTCTGGAAGCTCCCTCTCAGGATGGCAGGAATGATGTTGTGTCACTTCTGAGACCAGATCATAAAAGTCCATGCAGCTTCCTTCTGGTTTTCTTTGAACACTCACTGTCTGGAAGCTCCCTCTCAGGATGCTCCCTCTTGGAACCTAGCTGCCATGTTGTGAGAAGCCCAAGCCACAGGAGGAGTCAGGTGTCTGTACTTTGCTTGACAGTCCCAGCTCAAGCATCAGACATGTGAGTGAAGAAGCCTCCAGATGATTCCAGCCACCAGCCTCAAGTCACCCGCCACACGTTTGAACTTTCTAGATGAGGTCCCAGACATCAGGGAACAGAGACAAGCCATTCCTGCCATGTCTTGTTCAAATTCCCAGAATCTGTGAGCATAAAAAAATGGCCATTTTTTTACACTATTAAGTTTGGGATGGTTTGTTACACAGCATAGTAACCAGAACATACATAGAGAAAAGTACATATTTCCTAAGTACACAGCTTGATGAATTTCACAAGGTGAACACAGTCATGAACCAGCACTCACATCAAGAGCCCCACTCTGTCCTCTTCCAGTCAACACTTTTCCAAGGGTAATCACTCTCCTGGCTCTCAATCCTGTAGTTTAGTTTTGCCTGTGTTTGACTTCTATAAACTAAGCATCAGTTTTTAATCCTTCCTCTTATTTTCCTTTCATATTCATCCAGTCATCAAGCCCTGGTGACCTAATAACCACATATCCATTTCTCTACATCCTTACTATTCTAATTTGGGCCTTATCAATCTGATCATAAAGTTCTTTATAGTTCTCTATTATCCCAAGGATAAAAATCTAAACACCTTAACACGGTCTGCAAAGCTCTCTGGTACCTGACCTCTGTTTGTGTCTTCAGCCTCATCTCACAGTGTTTCCTCTGCATGTTCCCTAGGCTCCAGACAAGCTGTACTGATTATAGTTTCCAGAGTGCCTCCCACGTGTTGTCCATTCTTTCTCACCTTGTTATGTGCTGATCCTTTGGGCTGAAACTTCCATTTCTTTTTCTTTTTAAATACTTTTCCTTTTGAACTAATTTTAGGCTTACAGAAAAGTTGCAAAAATAGTATAAAAGTCCTTGTAAACTCCTTACCCATGTTCCCTTGTTATCATCTTATATAACTAGAGCACAGTGATCAAAACCGGGGAATTAACATCGATACAATACTTGCAACTAAACTGCAGACCTTATCTGAAACTTCCATTTCTCAATCTTACTCTTGCTTGGTTCTCAAGACTGCTCAAACATCACCTCCTCCTGGACGGCTTCCCTAGGCCCCTTCGCTCTTCTTTCCCCTCATCTTCTAAACACACATAACACGCTAAGTGCTCCTCCAAGATGGCAATTACACTACGTTGCAATTGTCTACCAATAAGGGCTGAGGTCCTGGAGGGCTGAGACTGGTTTTAATTGATCTGGAATCCTGCCTGACAAAGAGGACCTTACTCCATGTTCCTTGGGTTGACTGAAAACGATAGTGCCCAAGGGATCACAAGGCAGCAGGTGTTGGCGAGCCAACGAGGGGCGGTCATCGCCCGGGTACTATCCAAGCCGTTCGTGCAGATGGTGCAAAAAAGGAGCTAGACCTCTCGCTGTCAGCCCTCCCTAGGGCTCTGCTTTTCCACTGGCCCCGCCCACCTACCGACTCCTCCCCTCAGGCCTACCCTCTTGTTACCTCCTCCCCTTCCACGCCCCCTCTTCCACGGTCAGCACCGCCAAGATCCGTGACCCCGCCCCTATCACGTTAGCCTCTCTTTCAGCCGGATCTCTGTCCTAAGCCCCGCCCTCCGGTCTTTCCCTGCCTCTTTAAGTCGCGTCGCTCTTTAGGTCCCTCCTTCTGCCCTCCGGTTCGACCTTTCTTCCTCAGGCTCCGCCCCCGCCCCGCGGGCCTCCGCCTCCCCAGAGGTCTTCCCCTATGACACGCCAGAGTCCTTCAGAAGGGCGGGGTTTGCAGTGCGAGGGGGCGGAACCTGGGGGAAGAGGCGGTACTTCTTGCTTGGAATGCCGTCGGCGACCCCGCCCCTGCGCTCTGCCGTTGCCAGGAAACAAGCATCAACTCTCTGGCTTTGGCCGGGCCCAGCCAATGAGCTGGCACGCCGCTGCCCAGCGGTGCGTCGCTGGGCGGTTACGTGTGGTGCGCGGGGGCGCGGGTTGCGTGTGGCGCGGGGCGGGGCGCGGCTGGTGCGCCTGAGGAGCGATGGCGGCCTCAACTCACCTAGCACCGCGGTGGCGATCGGGCCTGCTCAGGGTCGGAGTTCTGTGACTGAACAGTAAGTGAGGGCCGGAAGGCGTGTGAGAGGGGAAGAGGGGCTGGGGAATGACGGCACTGGGTTTGGTGACTGTCCTGGTTGTGAGGGGAAAGGGTGAGGGGCTGGCATGTGGTGAGGGGCCAGGTGTGAGTGTCTAAGGTAGGGGAGCAGGGCGAGAGCCTCGGGGTGAGTGGGCAAGTAAGGAGCTGGGTTGTATGAGGGGCCGGGATGCCTTCTGAGGGGCCAAGTGGAAGGGACTTGTGAACACGGCTTACTGAGGAGCGGGGGCTCCGGTGGGCAGGCGTGAGGGACAACCCTGGGACCAGAGTGAGGGGCTGAGGCCTGTGCGGGGAGGGGGAATGGACAGGGCGAAGGCGGGAGCATGCGGGCTGGTGGTGAATCGGGAGGGAGTTGAGAGTAGGGCATGGGGGAAGGAATGAGGGTTGTGAGACTTGGATAAAGGTGAGAGGTTGGTTCTGAGTGTTCTGCCCAGTGAGAGCAGAACCCTAGACTGCCCACCCTAGACTGAGTAGGACAGCTTGGGTGGAAGTGTTGTGCTCTTGGCTCTTCTGCTGCATGGGCTCTACATATTTTGGAGGATCAAAAAATGATAAGCGTCGTGGGCAGTAGTAACAATGATAATGGAAATCATTTTTTAGGCTTACTCTTCAACAGAGTCATCATTGGAATCCCTCGTTCCCTCAAGTTCCTCCTTGGGACTGCAGACTTGAAGATGGTCCCTCTCATGGAGATTTTTTGGCTA